AAAAAAAAAAAAAAAAAAAAAAAAAAAAAAAAAAACATTGAATTTGTTTTATATTTTACTCCAGGCTCAATTGGAAGCCGAAATAGAGAATCTATCCTGGAAAATAGAAAGGGCTGAAACCACGGACTTAGGTGATTTGGAGAATCAAATGGATATAGCTGAAAAACGACGTACTACTTTACTTAAAGATTTTTTCCCCTTAGATGCATAAAACTTTTTGCTACGAGAAACAAATGCCAAAATTCCCCAAATTATCTAAAGTGTAGTTAAAATATTAGGCAAAGGATTTAAGAAGAATTTAAACTGTTACTCGAATAAAGTATTTAGAACATTTTAAATTACAAATTCTTAACCATGTATGATCCAGATCTCACCTTCAATTTATTTCCGTTCACGTTTCTCATTCTGTCTCCTTCTGTTCTGCTCTTAGTTAAAAAAAAAACATATTTCAGGTTTATTTTAATATATTTTAGAAACAACAAACAAAAAAAAAACAGTTTTAATAAACACTTCCATTTTGTATGCAATGTAAGGCATTGAGCTTAAGAGAAATAAAGTTAACCGAGTCTCTTATTCCCCTATAATCCCCATAACATATTTTATACGAGTTATCCTTTTAAAAGATTGTGCTAATGATTGCCCATACAATTTAATTGAGAAAAAAAAAAAAGCGAATAATTTAATATAAAATATATATAGCGATAATATACAGGATTTAAGCTAAGAGTGGCTATTATATATTCAGATTTTACGTCATTGCATTAGTTTTAAGAAACATTTTGTAAAACTCCCTACATTCCCTATACAAACTTTTTTCTTTTAAACGCGTTTCCTATAATTTTTAGATTTGTTTTTTGTTTGCCAAATTAATTACGTAGAGCAGTAACAAAGACTTCCGACACCAAGTTAATCTTTGATACCTACCATAGAGAATATAATTTTGTTCAATACAACCTACACCTACACATATATATGAATTAGATACTTAAATAATTGATTTACTTTAGGGTAGGTCCGTCTGCTTGTCTTAAGCCATCGAAACCCATCTAAGATCTTATTGGTTCATATCAATATCAATTTAAAAAATTTTCAAAATATTTCATCGACACACTTAGTAACGATATATGTAACTTAATGCTCCATTACTACATTTTCTTTAATCTCGAAGTGTATCCTTTGTATCGTTTGGAGGAAAAAAAAACGCAACAAAAGCAAAGTAGTGGTGGGTATCAAAAGATTCGGCTTAAATCAAATGTAATTAATTTTTTGTTTATTTTTTCAATGTTATTAAAATGAAAATTTATAATTAATTGTGTTTTTAACACATTGACTGAACTAGATGTGCTTGTATATACATAAACATACATACCATCATACATATAATCCCATACGTATACATTTTCATAGCTCAACTTTTTTGTAAAACAAAATTTTGTAAAAAAAAAAAACACCATTGGCTTTATAATTTTTAAGCATATTTTTGTTTTAATTTGTTTTTATTTCAATTTAAAAAAAAAAAAAAACGGTAAATTATTAAAAGTAAAAGCAAAGAAATATTCGATTTTCAATTAAAAAAGTGATTTAGAAAGTAATAATTTCGTTGTTTCATTTTTAAAAACCAAAAGTTTTCGATCGATCACAAAAATATATATTAAAAAGGGGTGAAATAAAAATAGGATTTTTGGAACGTTTCAAAAAACATTTTCTAAAACTTATAAAAATAAACGATATGTTGCAGTCGAACAGAAACATCGTCCAGAACATATATTCAGAGTGTTGAAAGATGCGATCAAGCACTTGGACTTGGACTTTCTAACACCAGGAATACTAAATACGTCATTTTGATTGGATGACTTATTTATATGGAAAGACTTTTAAGTACATGTAATCACTTTTTGCTTACATGATCTAGTTTTCGAGATGTCGATGACGTATACCTATTTCCCATCAGAAGAGATCATTTTTGTCTCCTAATTTGGCCAACTTGTCACACTTCTAAAAAGGAAGCTAGGAACATGAAATTTTGCATAGACATAATATGTTTATGTGCACTTCCGCAATAGGTAAGAAACTGAAAAAACCTCGAAAAATCCGAAAATCTTTTCATATTTTTATATTTATAACTTTTGACTCCGTGAAGATATTTCTCAAAAACTACTACTTAAATGATCATAAGAAGTTCCAAAATATTCCCAACTGGCTCGTTAATACGGCCAAAACTTGCGATAACATTTTATTTCATATTTATTTCGAATTTATTAGATCTTTGCAAAAATTTTGACCACTTTTTCGCTTGAAAAAGCCATTTATTGGGAAAGATTGGTGGCAGGAACCTTGGAAATTTTGCTTGAAAACGCTCTTCCATATATAGCGAAAAGTTCAAATGCTCATGGGAGACGAAAGTGTGTCCGAAAATGTCGATATCCTCGACGGTCGGCGTAATATTGACTGTGTCGTGCTTATCCAAGACAAGTGTTCTACAGAAATAAAATAGATTTGTCCACCAATTAAGTCCCTCAACAAGATGACAAGGCTTTTTCAGCGTTCTCATCCACTTGGCCTGAATTTACCTGCATATCGCACAACACATTAACGCGGCTCATTGTCGCGGCCATTGCTATTCCCCCTTGGAACAACCTACCAGCAGTTGTCTTTTGCACCATGCCTGATATTTTCACATTGAAGTCAAATAAGTACACAACACTACCCTCTTTCTCCGTCCTTCTCTATCCTCCTGACTACTATCACAGGGGAGATCCTCCGAGTGGCTGCTCATATACAAAAAAAATAAAACGCGCAGAAAAGCAATTATATAAAATTTGTATTTGGGGTAGCTCTAGCTCGAAATAGAGATCGCGAATGCGAGCCATGTCAGGCAGCTGACGAACATTGATTTTATTCTAAACTTTCATTTCAATCTAATAAATATACGAATTAATTTCCAGAGCCCTTTAAAGAAATGTATTAAAAATTTTCGATTCATTTTTGATATTATTTGTGGTAATTGTGCTGATCGTACTGTGTATCCTTTTTTAACTGTTTCGCCAGTTAACGAAAGGATGGACATTGGCTACATTGGATCAAGCAAATATGTCTTCAGGTTAAGCTATTTATCTTAATTTTTCATTTCTTGAGGATCTTTACAAATGGCAGAGTAGTCCTTTAATAGTTCTTTGCGGACTTACATCTTTTCTTTGCTGATATATGTGACCTTTTAAGAAAGAGTTGTAGTTTTTTGGAATACAGAATATACAATACTATTTTCTTGGCAAAATTTAATAATTTATTAAAAATTTGTTTGCGATGCTGATTAATACCAGGAATGTACTGAGAAAAACCATTTCATGTGCGCCGTCTCATCATTGCTCGTTTGGTACTTGGCACTGTTCTGTAAATAAAGAACATTTTGCTTTCAAGAATATAAAACATCGATTAGTCGACAGTAATAAATTGGACGTAGACAGCGCTACAGTAGCTAAAGCACAAAGTCCGATTTCATGTACATGTTTCTTTTTATTCGGCCCATCGAAGATTTCATTATTCGCTATCTGCTATCAGATCAGATCAAGCAGTGTAATTTTAACCAACCAAATTCCTAAAAACGACTCTGGGCCAGAAGAGAAGAAAGGAAAAGAGATAGGGAGGTGGCCGCAACCTACTGGCCGGCTTATGCTATACTATATCCAAAGTGTATTACTTCCTGCGGATTCACATTCCGTACACTAGCACAATTTTAATCCAGTGATCAGAATAAAATAATGCACCACATTAAGTTTAACGGTTTTTTTCACTAAATATAATCTTTTTTTTTTTTTTCAAAAAAAAGAACTGATTTAATAACGAGGGTATCATAAAGAAACGATTCCAGTTTCCAACCACTAAAATAAATATTGGAAAACGAACAAAGTCTCTAATCAATTTCAACCTTTCTCGTGGTGGTCTCTTCAATATTCTTTGACTTCAAAACTTAATTTTTCGAAAAAAGTTAGAACCAGCGAAACTAATTGGCAATCTACTGATGTGGATTGCAGCGATATTTAAATAATTTAATCAGAAACAACGAAATACATAGATGTGTCTTAAGCTCGATTTTGAAAAAAGTTTTGGAACATCTATCTATCTCGTTGTCTCTGCTACAATATTAACAGAATCTGTACCTGTACATATGATGAGAATGGAAGAGCAAGCATAGAAAGTGATGGTAATTAACAGAATTGGAACGTGATTGGTAAGAATACACAAAAAGTCCCCAAAAATATTGGAACATCTATGCAGTTCGTTGTCCGTATGTTGTCTTATTGATAAGAATATTTTTGTGACGACCGCGCTCCAGTTGGAACAAGCATGCTACGCAATGTACTTTTCTAACGTACTCGTTCGATATAGGGAGCGAAATTTGACACTGATTAGAAATTTCCCTTCTTTAGATGCACAATTTGTAGTAGGCATTTTCAAAATGCCGAAACATGCTACAATCGTTTAAAAATAAACATTTAATAATTAAATTGCGTTTATATATTTTTTGACGTGTCAACCCAAACGCAACTCTGATGCGATAAGTCTTTTTCAAGTCTTTGCCAAAATACATCAAATTCAAATCTGTCTAAGACCATATCAGTGAAGACAATGCAATTAAATAAAAACAAAAGTTTTAGGTAAAATTTCCGTGGCGGATGTGTCACGCACAAAAATTAATGAAAATGAAATTTAGTAACGAAATATAAAGAAATAATAGAATGAAAAAATTATTCCAATAGTAATCCTCAACTTTATAAAGGCCGGAAAAAAAGGCTTATAAAAGCAGAGAATCATCTGTTGTCGCCTCGCTGAACATTTAAGAAGATGAAGACAATAGAATTAGTAAAGATATGTAAGGAAAAAATAACATTAAAAAAATATATATACCAAAACTAACCTCCAACTTTATTAAAATCCTTTACTTCATAAAGGCAGGAATCATTTCTTCTTGGCTTGCTGAGCATTTAAGAAGAAGAAGAAACAAACAATGCAGTCGCGCTAAATCAAAAGCCTTTTCTGAGATATCCTGACTACAGCATTCGCGTCGTGCATCGTAAGTCGCGAACCCAAATTTCAAAATCTGGTTTGGTTGTATATGTTTACATGTAGTCGAATACATCGTTACCAATGCACTTCTTTAATAAATATTACATAAAAAAGTATTTTGCATAATGCACGATGCAAATGCATTCATTGTGTTCAAGGCGTAACTCAAGATATAAAAAAAAAAAAATGAAAAGAAATCATATGTTTTTTGTCTTTTTGCGAACGACGTATGGTGGTTAAAGTTATCTAACATACAACATTAAGTTTTTAGTCGAAGTAACGAAACAATTGAAATTGCTTTGAAATTGGTAGGAAATATGCGCATTTTTTCCGCTGGACACATTGTAAGACTAAATGCTTTGGCGGCTGGAAAACAACAAGTGAAAGCATTTAAACAGCCTAGTCGCAATGCTGCAAAATGGTATCCAGATCCGGAATTTTTAAAGCAGTTTGCAGCACCTGTTATGTATCCAGACGCGGTTACTTCACAATGGACATTACCTCCGTGGAATCATCAGATGCTGCCGGTTGAAAAGAAAATACGAAATTTGACTATAAATTTTGGACCGCAGCATCCAGCTGCTCATGGTGTGTTGCGTTTAGTGATGGAATTAGATGGCGAGACAGTAACTCGTTGCGATCCTCATATCGGTTTGTTGCATCGTGGAACGGAGAAACTGATTGAGTATAAAACGTACACGCAAGCCCTACCATACTTTGATCGCTTGGATTATGTATCAATGATGTGTAATGAACAATGTTATTCTATGGCCGTTGAAAAATTGCTTAATATCGAAGTACCTATGCGAGCCAAATATATTCGGACATTATTCGCGGAAATAACGCGTATTTTGAATCACATAATGGCTATCGGTACACATGCCTTAGACGTTGGTGCGCTTACACCCTTCTTTTGGTTATTTGAGGAACGTGAGAAAATGATGGAGTTTTATGAACGTGCTTCTGGGGCTCGCATGCATGCAGCGTACATAAGGCCTGGCGGCGTATCGCTGGACATGCCAATAGGTCTGATGGATGATATCTATGAATTTGCTTCGAAATTTGCTGAACGTTTGGATGAAGTAGAAGATGTTCTCACAACAAATCGGATATGGGTGCAACGCACAGCAGATATTGGAACTGTTACAGCTGAGGAAGCTCTAAACTATGGCTTTAGTGGCGTAATGCTTCGAGGATCTGGAATTAAATGGGATTTACGCAAACAACAGCCCTACGATGCCTATGATCTTGTCGACTTTGATATACCAATTGGAACTAAAGGCGACTGTTATGATCGTTATTTGTGTCGTGTTGAAGAAATGCGGCAGTCCCTGCGCATTATCGATCAATGTCTAAATCAAATGCCTGAAGGTGAAATCAAAACGGATGATGCGAAAATTGCGCCACCATCGCGCGCTGAAATGAAAGTATCAATGGAAGCTCTTATTCATCATTTTAAGCTTTTTAGCCAGGGCTTTCAGGTACCACCTGGAACAACTTACACCGCGATCGAAGCTCCTAAAGGAGAATTTGGCGTCTATTTGGTGGCTGACGGTTCCAGTCGGCCCTATCGCTGCAAAATAAAAGCACCAGGCTTTGCTCACTTAGCGGCGCTTAATCATGTTGGTAGACAGCATATGCTGGCAGATGTTGTGGCCATTATTGGTACACTTGATGTTGTATTTGGTGAAATTGATCGTTAGAAAGCAAACTATGCTTTCAGTGTAAATTCTTAAAGATATTCAAATAGATAATTGGAAAATATTAACGCAAATAAACATTATTATTAATAGTTATTTATTATGCTAGGCGTAACGTAAAAAATTTTATTATTATTTTTTTTTTATTGATTTTCAGAAAGGATCAATCTATATTTTGTGAAAGTACACAGATTAACATGCAAATCTCTATTGTTGCGACTTAAGAGAGTTTGATTACGTTTACGTTTGTGGTCGCAAAAAAACAATTATAAGCTACCCCCTTCAGGGCGTATTAAGTTTGTGCGAATGGTTGCAAAATCCAGAAGGATTTGAGATGGACCCACCCTTTGTTGTAACGAAAATAATTCTGAATTGATCTGTCTGCCTGTCTAGCCGCTTGAAATCTATCCGTGTATTTTTGTATTCCATTTGTAGCTCGCAGTTTTCGAGATATTTTAACGAAACTTGGTACCTGGACGTAAAATAATATAGTACAGTAATCGATTTCCACGAAAAGTGAATCTTGATAGGAAGAAAGCATGTAGCCTTAACGAGTTTAGACCATGTAGACCCTATATCTAGATACTAACGTAAAGCAAGTAATTGGCTTTAGAAGCCAAAAAGATCTAATTTTTAGTATTTTGCAATGGAAATTTTTCCTTAGTTAATCAATCGAAGAGAATTTGGGACACGTAGGTCTATGTTTTGAACCTCACCATACATTGGGACTCTCGTGAAGTTAATCGCTTTTATGGCGACAAAGCTTCATTTGAGATTATCTTACAACGGATGCAACCTGAAACTATTAAAAGCTTTCAATGAAGTTCTTTATATTTGAATCACGTTGACGTTCCAGCATCCTGCAGTGCAAGGCATGAAAATCATGTATTTGCATGAAAAAAAAAAATATAATTTTTGGCATATTATTGACTGGGGTTGCGGGTATTGCATGATTGTGGCATTCTTACTTAATTTTATACAAATTGCTTTTGCGGCTATTTCTATTATAGTTTTTCTTTGATTCATAATTATGGGTTCACGATTCTGTACGATTTTCTAAAAATAAAAATATATTAGTTTTTTCTCTCTTTAATCATTCAAACTTGTCGATTTTGTTATGGGAATTGTAGAAATATTTAAATTTAGTTTAAGCTTTTCATTTATACAATCCTCCCATTAACAAGAACAACTATGTGAGGAAAGATAACTGGCGACGGGGGAAGTAGATAAAGTTTAGAGTACCACGAGATAAAAAGCGAATTGATTAAAACTTTCTCTTATATATATGAAGCATGTTCTCAGTTACAAAATACCATATAAGCGGGCCTAATCGGCTTGGACATGCCAAACTAACTTTCATGTCAATATGAATCAATAATATTCCAGGAATCGTTTTCTTTAGTTTGATCTGAAAATCGGTTCTCTGAAAGGCGTGCAATGCAAGTTTTACTATCAATTAATCCTTTCAATTGTTTATAGCATCGATCCGTTAATCACATTGCAATTCGATTTTTTCTTCTTTTTTATTGATGAATAAAGTCCATAATTCTGCTTTCACAATTATATTCTTATTAACTCCATATTTTCTTTTTTTTTTTATTTATAATTATCTGGTAATGTTTTACGTATTTATGTAAATCCGTGTATGTGTATGTGTGTGAGTTTACTCGATATTTGAACTAAAGTAAAGACATACGGTAATTATTAATCATTATGAAATTTACCACTTTGGCTTCACCGTTTCTTTTTCTTTTCTTGTTAATTTCCAAACCTGATCTGACCCTTTAGCATACTTAATATTACTTCATTATAGTTATCATGGAAACTTTTATCGACTTGTTTCAATTATAATTTCATGAGTATCCAATTGAGAGACACTATACTTTAGGGGAGCAAATTGATTCTGTTCTTCTATTGATGTTATAACATGTTCTTCAACTTGTTCTTCAATATCCTGTACGACTACTTCGTGAGTAACGTGTTCTCCATCGATATCATCAATATTTTGGGAATTGCATCCGTTTTCATGCATTTCAAACTCGGTAAAATTATTAAAAACCGAACGACAGACAGCACATTCAAAACCGCTAAAAAAAATTATAGAAATGCTAACCAATTTGAATTCATAAGGATGTTAATTAACTTACACTGGTTGATCATCAGCTAATTCCAAACATTGATGAGCCTGCGCTTGAGCTTCGGCAAGAGTAGCCTTCATGTCGATGTCAACTCCGTCTTTTATATGAGTTAACAAATGCTTTTTAAAATTACCCATTTGTATGAAAGCTTTCTGGCAGATTTTGCAGGCATAAGGTTTAGCATTCAAATGGCCCATTATATGCTTTTTGAGATTGACACGTTGTGAAAAGTAACGACCACAACGTTTGCAACGGAATGGTTTCTCTCCGGTATGTGTTAGTTGGTGGCGTGTCATGTTACTTTGCTGTGTAAAGGTTTTAGTGCAAAAATTACATTGATACGGACGCTCACCATTATGCACTGAATAGTGACGAGTCAAGTTTACCGATTGAGCAAACGCCTTACCACATATACGACATACAAACGGACGAACATTATTGTGTACCTTCATGTGGCGCTCCAAGTTGCCACTATTACAAAAGAATTTTCCGCATAGCTTGCATTGAAACGCTGATTTATTCTGCGAGTGCACTTGTTTTTTGTGCAACAATTGATCACGCTTACAAGGAAATGTCTAAGCCGATACGAAATGAAATATAAGACAACTACCACAAAATTTATTTTGCAAAATTACAACAGACCTTACTGCAACCTTTGCAGCTGTATATTGGCGTTGCAGGAACCGCTTCCTCAAATTCCTCCGGGGTAGCCATGAGCAGAAATTATATTTTGTTTGTTCTATTTTCCTCCGGTTTTTAGAAAGCATTCAAGAGAATGCAGGTTCGCACTGATCTAGATGTAAAGAAAAGGATAAAAATCTTCTCAAGAATTTCTTAAACTGTACCCACACACTCTCTTTTGCACAGACGGCCACAAATTACAGGAAGAAAATATGACAAACCAGCCGTAAAAAAAAAATAACAAGCAAAATTGTCATATGGTGTTGCATATAGAGTTGCCAAATGCTTTAATTGTGGTTACATATTAATAGGGCTGCCGAGAAGCACAAATTAGTGATAACACTTTATCGTTCACACAATCATTTGCTGTGTAGAAATGTGCTATATTCCGTTTTTTTCCTTTACCCCATTGAAAAAGCTTTAATTGAATATAAATTTACTGGGTGCATATATATTTGTCTTATGTGTTTGCCTTTCCAAAAAACTTCTCCTAAATCCTCGCTCTATTAAGTAAAATCTTGTAAAATGGATTGTGCTTTAAAACGTCTATTAATTCATTTGCAATGAAAATGTTGGCATTACTACTATATAATCAATTGATAACAGATGATTGTAAAATACATAGTTTACTTATCATCTAAGTTTTAAAACATTAAAAGTAAGCCGTAGTTTAAATCGCAATTATAATAAAATAACTTAATGTTAGCAACTCCACTACAACCTGCTTTCGAAGCAGCTGCACTATCAATAGTCTATTAATACAAAAAAATATTCAAATTATAAAGAAAACATGGCAAAAGACGAAAAATCCTCTACAAAGCCTCAAAGACATGAGCATGAACATGATAAGATTAAGCCACCAAATAAGGTAAAAACCACTTGATCGCGTTTCAATGGTGTTTTAAGATATTAAAACAAATCTTTGCCCTAATGTTGATTTTAATTGAATTTTAGATAATTATACGTCATCTACCGCCCACCATGACTGAAGAAGACTTTCTTAAGCAAATTGATCCGTTACCCGAGCATGATTTCTATTATTTTGCTCCAGCTGACTGGTCATTGGGTTCAGATGCTACTTGCCGTGCTTACATTACTTTTAAGAATCATAATGATATTTTTTTGTTTCGCGATCGTTTCGATGGTTATGTTTTTGTGGATAGTAGGGGCAATGAGTATCCAGCTATTGTAGAATTTGCCCCATTTCAAGGCGTTTTAAAGAACAAATCACGCGGTGGCGATAGTAAGGTTAATACAATTGAACAAGAACCACATTACCAACAATTCTTGAAAAAGCTGGAAGAGGAACGTGAAGCTATAGCTAAAGGAAATGAATGTAAATTGGAATTTTCTTTAGATCGTAAAAAGGAAGAAGTTGCCTCCACTCCCTTGTTACAGTATTTGGCAAATAAAAAAGAAAAGCGTCGTGAAGAGGCGAAAAAGCGCACGCTGGAGAAGAAGAGGCAACGCGAAGAGGAACAACAAAAGCAGCAACAGCAAAGCGAAGAAAGTTCGCAGCAAAAGCAAGCGGACGGGAAAAATGGTAAAGATGTCAATGCCTCATCCAAACAGCCTGATAAGGAGGAGGTTAAAACTTCAAGACAAAAATCCAAAAATGATCGCAGAGCGGAACGTAATCGCCGCCGAGCTGAGGAATTTAAAAAACGTTTGGAAGATCATCAAAATTCACATAAAAGAGATGAGCAGGCAGAGAAAAAAGAGCATAGGCGTAATCGCCGAGAAAAAGAAAGAGAAAAGGAAAAAGCCAAGAATTTGGAATTGGGGAAACACATCGAGATCTTGAAAAAGCATAGCACATCGGATCTGAATGAATCAGTACGGAATTTTATATATCAAGCGGCACAGAATTTAGCAGCGAAAACTCAAGAAAGCGTGGACGGGAAAACAAGCGATGAGGCAATACAAAAAACTCAAAGCGCTCCTGGCCTAAGTACTGATAATGACTTAAAAATTGCGCAGGAAAAACTAAACAAAATTAATATAAAAGACGAGCCCAAAATGCAAAACTTACTTAGTAAGGAAGCTAATGGGAGCGCGAATAGCGAAGAAAAAAATATGCAACAAAAGCAGCAGCAGCAAAAAGAAAAAGACAAACGCGACGAAAAACGTATACGGAATAAGGTTTTACATAACACCTCTTATGTTTTACCTTTATAGTAATTTTTTTTTTTTTGTTTATTTTTAGGATCGGCCTTCTATTGCTATTTATCAGCCTAAGCCACGTCTGCGTTTATCAGAGGAAAGCGATACTAACTCTAATAGTCGTGATGCGCGCAGTCAACCAACGTCTGACTGTGAGGGAGTCAGTAAAAAAGACGATCAAGCAATGCAAGAACAGCCAAGGAATAAAAAAGTACCACGATATTCCGAACGTTCCCGTAAAAGACAAAAGCCTGAACACAAAGAAAACAGAGATAAGGAACGTTATTATGATAAAGACCAGAAGATTGAACAAAAAATTTAAGTTGAAGAATTCTGCATAAAATCTTAGCAATTTTACAATTATTGATAAATTTTAATAAATATTGAAATCGGCGTTGGTTTTCCATCACCTAATTAAATTATCTAAAATCATTAAATATATATTTAATCTAATTCGAAAAATGCAAGGAGTGATAGAAATATGAATCGTTTTGGAAAATGGATGAGGATGAAATTGCTAAAAAACTGAACAACCCGAACAAATCTGGAAATTTTAACTGGCATGAAAAAGAACTCTGAACCGTCTCGGTCCCCTCCGTTCACAATGGAATGGCATTCTCGACGCTGTACCGTGATGCTAAAGATATACGTCTGGGGACGAAAGAACTATATTGAACTATACGTTTTCATGTTGCCTGCCGACCATGAAAAATATCCGCGACAATGCAAACATCCCCGACCATGAAAAATTAAAGCTGTCAGTTTAGTCATTATTGTTGCACTCATAGCAATCTACTGACAATAAGCTTTTGTATTAAGAGCAATACAGTAGCCTTCAAGAATTCAGAAGAGTACACAAATATTTTAAAAATATATAGATGATTAACAAAGTGGGTAAGGTGTAAACTTACCATTTGGCCTATGGAAGTATTGCATTCTGGTGAAGCGATAGTGCAGGTCTATGCTTGTTATTTTAATCTAATATGAAGTAAAAGTAAGTGAATAACTTATGCATAATAATAAGAAGGGGTAAATGCAATCTTACCTCTGGCATACAGCGAATCTTTATCTATACGGGGCGATGAGCGGAGAGTTAGACTTAATTTTTCTGATCTAAAATAGAAGAAATAAATAAGTAATATATAAAAACATTTATACAATATTATAATTACATGCATAATAAGCATGCATTCTGATTGGATAATGATGTCGGTAAAAATGCAATAAAAGTAAACTAATTTATTTTATTTTTTGGCGGAAAAAAAAATTGTTCTTCTTGAAGGTATTAAAGTAGGAACAATCCGAAATAAAAAAAACCCAAAAAATTTAGAAAAGGAATGACGAATATAATACAAATGGTTTTGATTTCTCGCTAAAAGCCGTTAACTGGTCTTTTCCTTTACATCGTTTATAAGAAAAGTATTATGTGCGGTGAATAGATAATAAATAAGAAAAATGGTGAATAAAAAAGCTCTCTCATCTGTTAAATGAGAAAAATTAACAAGGCAGCCGCGTGCATCCCTGTTAAATGAGAAAAAAGTGGTATAAAAAAATCGTAGCAGGTGAATATATGGTTCTGCTACACTTGTTTGACTTTGTAAGGCTTATTTTGATATGAAAATGCAAAGGTAGGGTGCGCAAAAACAAAAAAAAAAAAAACAAATAAATCGCAAGTAAATTGTGAAATCAGAAAATGTGACATTGAACTAAATATCCTTTACGGAATGCAATCAAATGTGTGATTGTTTCTCTACGTATTGTCAAGGTGTGAATACAGCTCAGGGGCGAGATGACAATTTGAAAGATTAAAAGAAGTGCTCTTTATGCGGAAAGATCTTAACTTCTGGATCCCGCCTTAAACAACTGGTGTATCGCCTAGCAAAGTGGAAGGTTTTCTAAAGGTTCCTTGGCACAGCTTACCTGCTAAGCAGGATGTACAGGATTTGTTACAAATGATTCGGGATATTCGTCAAGATCAATTACGCGTAATGCAGATTTGTCAAGCTTTTATAATATATCAATAAAACTAAAAAGAAAGACCTCAGATGCAAAATGTAGCTGTTTATGCGTTTTCCTATAGTTTATTAGTTTAATATAAAAGAAAGAGAAAACATTTCAAAGATAATTTAAATGTTAAAAAATACGAGCAATAGGACCAATAAATTATAGTAAATAAAGTAAAGAAAATCCCAAATCCAGTTAATTTCAGCTAAGTAATTTTCCCTAATAATAAATTACCTAAAGAAGGAAACCCCAAAGAAGAATTCGAAGGCGCCTCATGAAGCTGCAGCCCGATGAAAACGATTAGCGGAAAAGCAGGCGGGGATTAGAAATAAAACCATAAATTTAGGTATAGTAACATGCTTGTAAAAATGTATATAAATAGAATATTTGTGGAAGGGAGAGTTAGTCGGACAAGAACATTTGAGCTGAGAATACGGCCAAAATAAATTGTGAATAATCCTACATGTAAGAAATATAATTGTAAGTAAATGATCCTACTGTTGTGAAAGACAAAATAGTAAAATAAAAGAACTTTGAAGTGTATTTCTCTTGATCAAAATATCCACGATCCAGTGATGCGGACTGTATCCTAAGAAAAAGCGAATTTCATAACAGCATATTTAATATTAGTGTAAACAGAGACATTAAAACAAAAATGGTCTTTGTCATTTATTTATGCGCCACCGTCGTGCAATTTTTATAGCCTATCACTATACTGGATACGGCTATCTTTCCATTTGTATTTGTAGACTAAAATTGCTTAATAAGTACTAGTGGGTTTATTGTACTCTTCTTCATCTCAGGCAGACGAAGAGAGAGGACAATGTTGCGTACTTCTTCTTCCTTCTTTCAATGGATGCCAAGAACTGAACACGTCCAAGGGTCTAATAAGACTTAAAATAATATCGATCGATTCAGAAAATGGTTCTGGATTTCAAGCTGGTCTATCTGTCTCGTTTTTTTTGTACTCAATCTATAAGCTGTAATTCTGGAGATATTTTGATGAAATTTGGTACACTGGACCACCTTTTCAAACACTTCTCGCTTTATTTTAAATGATGCGCCATATGGTGTAGCTGCAAATTGCTGTAGTTTTATTGTGAACTTTACGGGATTTTTTCACACTAACATTTTAAGTAACCCTACAATGCATTTAAGTCAAGTCCTAATTCGATATCTTGTACACTTCGTCAGTTAGAAAATTATCTATATAGTGAATGTTTCGACCATTTCATGGACTAACTGATCATAAAAAACTGTCCACAAATTCTGGATTAATATCAGCCATAGATTCGAACTTACACCCTTTTGGCTATTGTAGCGCATACGAATCACGCCTACTTTTGATTTTGAGCTGTCTTTTCAACGGAAATTAAATTTGAGATGCTTGAAAACCATAAGCACGTTGGTCGCTTCTTGCTCAGGTTAATTAGGTTAGTGGTTATCGTTCTATGAAAGTATTGTCTCTTAACCACGTTTTTGCTTGGTTGTTGGCTACTAGGGATTGAAGATCATTAGACATCCATTGTTCGCTATATTTTATGATTTTTATGCCAGACCCGTTAGATTTAATACTTCCTGCATTTGTACCCTTTTTTGTTGGCAACGAACTGGACTTATTCGAAGCTTAAAGGAACAAGCGAAAACATTGTACGGACCCAACGTTTCATGCCCTCCACGATCCTATAATTCATATAATGGCTTTTTAATATATGCGAGGTGGTCCGATCTGAACCATTTATCTATATTTATTTTTATTATTTTTCTCATGCTTCTATATGTGAAATCATGTACCTAAACATTAGTTATCTTGTGTGTGGAATTGTAATATATTTATTTTCGTTACCTACCCATAGTTTCCAAACATGAATGATGATAGATTTTATTTACAAGCGATAAGCATGTGCTACATACAATAGTATCGATATAACACAAACATAGGGTATTTATGTACATTCTAATTGATACATAGAATAGCATTGATATATTATTATATAGTACATACATCTTATAATTCGTGCCAGCCTGTAACAGGCACAAGCAGGGCAGAAACGAGCGTGACACAGCACGATCGGCCTTTCATTTTTGTTACACAAGCCAAGGAGGTAAGTGATATGCGACGAAAGGGTGCTTTGTTTTTCGATTTTACTGGTAGGAATAATTCTTTTTTTGACTTACGGATAGGGGATGGCAGGTTCAGCGTAGTCGCTATCCCCAAACAACAGAAACGTGCTTGACGTGCGAATAGAAAATGGCCGGCTAAACATAGTCCCTAGCTCCGAACAAAAGAAAGGTACTTGACCGACGCGTAGAGGATGCCAGGCTCAACTTAGTCGCTATCCGTAAAAGACGCATAAGATCACTCCCTACGATGACTCTTCGATCGACTAGCGACAATAAAACTAACTAGAACACAGATAGGAACGGTCGAATGGCTCTATGGGCTGATAAGGTTGGCTGCTGTAACATCTTCTGTGTATTCTGCAGAACATTGGAACGTACGGAACGCGGAAAGTAATATATGATAAAGTAACTACCAATAAGAATCGTGTCACGGGTCACCACGCTGATTTTCTTCATTACCTTGAAACCATAATTATCTATGAAAGATCCTTGTTTTTTTTCCTTCGTTAATACGAAAATCATAACTATTAATACATTTATCACTGTTAAAAAATAAATGAAACAGTTTTGCACGAAATCGTAATCGTCTATCAAAATGCCAGTAAACAATAAAGAAATAATATATAGAGGACAATAGCAAGGTCCATGACTTTTTATAAATTTCTTGGAAAGGGACTTCCTGGGAAGCCCTGGGCATACCCTGGATTAGAAGACCTATTACAATACAGTGTGATGTGTCCTTCTGGCCGTTGCAAATGTTTTGGAAAAATGGATATATCTCCCATCTATCGGTGATGAATACAAAAAAAAAATGTATTTTCTGACAGATCTAAATTGATGTTACCCTTTATTGTATAGCATGTACAACGTATACCACAGTCTTTTATAGATGAAGTTATTAGTTGTCGAACAGAGTTGGCTTCAAATCGAATGTATTATCTTTTCCCTTTCAACATAACTATAATCGGAATCTTTTTTCCCATAATCTTCTCTAAAGCTTTTTGTCGAAGCAAAAACAAATATTTCTTTTTTAAATATAAAACGCTCTAAATATCCTGTAAAGGACATTCTATGTTTATTATTGGATTGCAAGCTTTTGAAACCTGTTGCACATGTATACGCACATAACATATATTTTTGTATTAATAATTCGTGAAACTTTGACTTTTCATTGCGGAAGCTTTTAATATTGTTGCTTCGTTTTACTTCTATTTATGATATTAACAATTTTTGTTACAGTTCAGTTTAACATTTTGATTTAAAACGAACGGTTCGCACATAATGGGTTACGGCCATTACCCCTATGATTGAACGGTAACAAATGGCGCGTAAAATTTGAAATTAATTTGAAAAAAAAAAATAAAATAAATAAATGAATAAGTGACTTGAAAAAGCGAATTGAGAAAAAGTGCAGAAAAATGATAAGAAAGTGAATAAAAAAAAAAACAAAAAAAAAAAAAAATATTAAAATATTTAAAGAAATAAAAAAGTAAACTATTTAGATATTTATGGATGAGAGCGTATGTGTGTGAATGCGTATATACATATGTAGTCATATATGTAGCTATATATATATATATATATATGAGTACATATATTTTTATAAAAATTAATTTTTAACTAGAATGTGAAAGAAAAACCTTATAACCATTAGTTCGCTGCATCGATAAGACCTGAAGTAACCCGCACGTCCTCAGTATTAATGTGTTTCATTTGTGTGTTTCATTTGTAATTTCCTGTTTTTCTTTATAATTTTACTCGCACTGACTTAGTCGGTTTTGGCTTGAGGCTTTTTTTTATAAACATTTGTTTTTGCGGTCTCTCCTACACAATAATTTACATCGGAGCTCTTTTTAATATTTTTTTTATTTGAAATTAAGTATTTAAGGAAAAGTAAATTTTTAAAATTATTGCATTTCTTAAGTAAATATTTGTGTTATTTCTAAAGAAAACGGAAACATATTTTTTCCTTTCAAAGATTTGAAGAATTTCTTAAACTCATTTTTATGAATAATTTATGATGTGTAAAGAATTATCAAAATGATATTTGACAACAATGGCTTCCAAAGGCTTCATTTCATGTAGGAAAACAGTTTAACTTGATCAGATATAGCTTGATCAGTACAATGTTCTGATTCGCTTGAATTATCCTGTGCTCCTGTCTATCGGATCGAAATATATTTTCGTTCAATTTTCCAAAAATCCAAATAGAAAGACGAAGTTAATATAACCTCGGCTTAGATCTACAGATTAGATTTGAAAAATAATTCGAGCTGATCGAGGGAACCTCCTATATTCGAAAAATAAAAGATTGAAAAGTAAAACAAAACCAATCTTAAAAGCATTGCTGCAAATAGCTTCCAAAACAAATATAATATCAGTTTGAAATATGAGTTGAACCAAGTAAGAACTTTATTGCAAAGGTAGTCCTCATGGATCAATTGATACTTTCATAATTAAGACAAACAAAAAAAAAAAAACAAGTAAAAAGACAATAGCGAGCCGCGACCCACCCTAAAATACCTACTTTACATTTATTCAAATACCAACTTTTCAAGATAAAGTGTTATAAGGGAAGTAGTCGAAAAAATGGTCCCATTCCAACTATTTTCAAGAGGGTTCGTCCTTGAGCCAAAACATACAAACACAACAGTGTATCAAGTTTTATAAAGTATCTTAAAAATTGCGACCGGCATGCTGGACACGAGAACGTAAGACGGTCAGACGGACGTACAACTGTCCGCGATCGGTGAATTTCGTTTTCATATTCCATGTAAGTGAATCGTCCAGGGACCACCACCGCTCTTTCTATATTAGAAAACGCAACTTTACGTCTTTCACCTTCAAATAACAATAAGTAAAAACGCTATGGCGAGCCAGGGCGAACCGTTAAATATCCTACAGCACCCTACAATTATTTGCATAACGAGTTTTCAAATAAGGCATTACATGGGAAGTGGCCGAAAAAAGGGCTCCGATCCGAATCATTTTCAATATCTCAAAAATTGCGCATTGTGAACACAAGAAAGTAAGATGCACGGACGAGCTCAATAGATTTGGAAAATGATTCTAAATCGGCCAGTATAAATAAACAAGAATTTAGCTCAAGTCTTTCTTCGTGTTGCATATACACGCGTATATTTTACAGCTACGTGGTGTCGGATAAAAAAACAAATAAGAAAATTATGTTCTGTTGATGCCCAATGGATTACTTGGTACATTCATAACAAAAACAAAAAAAAATATTCTTTATTTTTTTCATTAATGAACAAAAAAAAAAAGATAGAGACAGTTTCACAAGATATTTGCTTCCTATAGAGATTCATATATAGGAAGAGAATTAGAACAAGCGAAGGCAAAGACTTAGACAGTATTAGCTTAGTATGGAATAATGGCAAAAAAGTAAAGTAACTCATACCATAGATACTCTTACGGAAATCCCAAATCCTATTCATTCCAGCTAAGTAACCAAATCCCTAAAGAGGAAAGAAACCGAATACACATTCGCAGCGCGTCATGCAGCTGCCGGCCGAGGGAAACGAGTACCACAAAAGCAGGTTAACGAATTAAAAATTAAGCTGTAAAATTAGTTACTAGTAATATGACGGTAAAAATGTATATATTATTATTATTATTAATTTCGCCAGAGAAATAAATTCTAAGACTAAACTCTTAAAAGCACTAGCACCTAACGCTATCGGCTTTTATTAAAAACCCTACCGCACTTGAGATTCGAAGCCACGACCATTGCGTTGCTAGTCGAGATTCCTCGCCTTCGGCTACTCAGGCGGATGAGGCAAAGACATAATTCATTTCAGTTTTATGAGAATTCAATTTACTTCACATCCGCGGTTTATGGCCGAAACTAAAACATCATAAGTTCGTCTAAAAAATCCCTGTAAATTTTGGCTATAGATAACTTTGATTATCCATCTCTTGTTCATCTTTAGTTAAAATTATAAAAATTCTTGCATGAACTTTCGGTACTTAGTACCACCCTTTTGCACATTGCCGGCGACATAGGATTGTTTTAGTAGCGGATTTTCAGACTTGGTCTTAAACAATACATGCTGTGAGGTCGACTTTTCAATTGATAGGTATTACCTTGTAGGCGTGTCCATGCTTGTTTCAAAATTTAAGTATAGTTTAATTATAAACGTATTGAAAGTGAAGCTCTTCGCCAAATGACTTCTCGCCTTGGGCTACTCGGGTAGATAAAAAAAAAAAAAAAAAAAAAAAAATTCGTATATAAATAGAATATTTGTGGAAGGGAGGATGAGTAGAAAAAGAATGAGCAGTCGAAAGTATTAGCAAAAATAAATTGCGAATGATCCTACATTTAAGGACTATAATCGTAAATAAAAGATCTTTGAAGTGTATTTCCCTTGAAAAAAATATCTTAGAAAACTGCATTTTATAGCAATGCTTACAAATTGTCTATTGTTGTCTATTTTTGCTTTAATCTTGTAGCTTTAAGATGAATTTTTGATATCCATCACATACAAAACAATATATGAAAATTGGGAAATAAATTTATTAAATGTGGTCGTGATTAAAATCAATTTTACTCTTTAATTTCAGCTGGTCTTAGAAGCTATTTGTACCAGGTTTTAGGTAAATATTTTTCATCGGTTGTCAGTGTTTTCGTCTATTGCCAGTATTTGAGCAGTCATGTTAAAAACCCTAAAGGGGAAGCAAGCCGAGATTCTAAACTTTTCAGAAACTAATAAAAGCACTGCAGTTGTCCACAGCCATGCTACAATTACTCATATAACGGCGTTTCAAAATAAGACTTTATATGTAAAAAATGGTCGAAAAAGTGTTTTGACAAATAGCATGCGTCCTTGAGCAAAACGAGCCGGTATACCAAATTTCATCGGATTATCTCTAAGCGACCTGTGGGTTGAGCAAAAGAATAAAAGACGATCAAACGGACAGACAAGGCTAGATTGATCCAGGAAGTAATTCTGAACCAATGGGTAGAATGAAATGTGAGTCTATCTCAACACTTCCCTCTACTTTAGCATTATAAGCGGCGTCGGGTATAACAACAATAATTTATTCATTCATTCACACTCACATAATAAAAAACTTTAGGTGAGCCAACAAAGTTATCCATCGCTTTATGAATTATTGCTGCTCAAAATCCTTAATAACATATTAACTTAGCTCGTCTTTATGGGCTAAAACAATGTATTTTGCAATTATGTCATATTATCATCTGCAGATTATTACATTGTATAACGAAACTTACCAACTTGATCTATTGTCTGGTCATATTTACAAGGAAATTCTATGAAAAATTTTAATTACTTTTTTTTTTTCCTTTCTTATAATTACATGGATTCTCTTATTCAAATACGTTTATATGAATTTAGATTCGCGTCAGGAAAGGGGAGAAGAAAATATTTAAAAAAATTTTTATTTTTTCACTGTTAAAGGACCTTTTTAATGCGACTTTAGCTATTTGCAGCAGTAAATTTCGAATAAAATTTTTTGTTTTTTTTTGTTTTTGTCAAATTAATATTGTGAGGAATTCGCAAAAGAAGTAAGTTATGTTCACCATCGCCATCTATTACGTAAATATAAGAAAAATACATTGTGTTTTATGATTACAGCGATGACATGTATTCGCTCCGTCCTTAAGCGTACGGAAGTAAGGCATATGCTATAAATGGGTGACATGAAGTTAGCCCGCATTTATGTCTTTGGTAAAAGTTGGGCTTTCATGACTTCACTTAGAAATGTCATTCATTTTGAAAATATGCATTACCGTCCTTCTAAAGCAAAGAAGTTCTTAATTTGAGTGAAATGCTGACTGTTTCGCTTGTTTGTCTGCCCACAATAGAACTAGGTTGACTACACATCAGGTTTAACAATAAACTCGATTTACCCACATGTCTGATTTTGACTACAATAGCAAGATAATGAAAGGGAAAATTGAAGAAACAAGAAAAGCACGAGCCACTGTTAAATATCCTATGCCACTTCGCTTAATACGTTATCCATATAACGACTTGTTACAAATAAGGCTTTATAAGGAAAGCGGTCGAAACAGTGATTTGATCCGAACCATTTTCAATAGCGTTCGTCTTTGCACGAGGAAACGTCTGTGTACCAAATTTTACCAATACATTTCAAAAATTGAAACTTTTACGCTGAACACAATAATACGTGAACGGACACGACACGGTAGACATACACCTGAGTATATATCAATGGAGAAAATGCTTCTGAATCGACAGGTATAATAAAAGGTGAACCTATCTTAAGCCTTTCTGGTCGTTACATATGCCCGCACAAAACCTAATGCACATCGTACTATATGTGGTGCAGGGGTTGCAATTTTTACGACCTGTGGGTTGACTACAAGAATACAAGATGGACAGACGGACGTACGGACAGACAAACTTAAATCGATTCGGAAAGTGGTTCTGAATTGGCAGGTATAATAAACGCTTGATCTACCTCAAGTCTTTCTGAATGTTAAATACATTCTAACAAACTTAATGTAGTTCAC